ACTCTGGTACTGGCGTTTCTTGTGTGCCTTAGGCTAGCCCCGTTTATTGCTCGGCTACTTTCCATTGTGCTCATGTCTCATGCACTCAAACCTCTGTAATCCTGTGTGTGTCAGAGGGCACACATACATATCTAACGAGATGGCACAATACATACATAATCCTGTTAGATGGCACACCATGTGTATGTAATTCTGTGTATGTTAGGTGGCACACATACGTATGTAACAATAGGGATTATCTGACAATTTTAGAAAAGTTTATGTGACAGGAATATCACATAAACATTTCGGATGACTATTTCAGAAGAAGATTCCTGGTAGGTGTAGATCATGAATCAGTGAGATGGGCTGCAGGATGCTATAGATGGAATACTAGAAGACAGAGGCAGACTCAGAGCCTCGCATGCCAGACTAGAGGAGACAATTCTGTCTTCCGAAGGAGTCAGAAAATTACCATATGTGTGAAGTCGTATGTAGAAGTTTTAAATATAGCATTTCAGTATCTTCACTCTAAAACAGCGGGAGGTGGTGAGGATTTGAGATGAATATAAATTTGTTTTCTGACAGATTTCTATTTTTCAGCAACTTTAGAAAATTTAACATAGACATTTTACAAAAATCTGAAGTAATCACTTTACTTCCCTTCTGAAGAATACATGAGCTTCTGAAATATTTAACTTCAGTCACTTTTCCCCTGATTTGTATACTAGTATTTATGCATTTGTACTACACATTTGTCTTGATTTTTACCCTATTAGACACAATTATTCTTTCCTTCATACAGATGACTGCTACATTTTTTGGTTTATTATTATTTTAGGTATTAAAGTTAGGGCTTTAGGAGTAGACGTTACAGATACAAAGACTTCCTCATTTTCTGTGGGCTGGGAGTTTCCTGAGCCCCTGTGACACCCTTGATTGTGTGTAGAATGGAGAGATGTGTTGGAACTCACAGGGCTGTTTGTGTCAGATGTGTTCCTGAACTGAAGCACAGTCTCTGGCCTGCAGTAGTTAGTTGCTGTCATTTTCCTTTATGCATTTCCGACATTATCTTTGCCATTACTTCCTTGTCTTTCGTCTGATGAATATCATTTATTGCTTTCCTCAGTACAAATATTGTTTGTTGAGGTGGAAGAACTTACATGTCTCTTGTTTAAATTTTTACTGGGTCTAGAATCATACATGGATAGAAGAAGGATTCTTTTGCATCTGGCAGCACTCAGACTTTAAAAAAAGGCTCAGCTGTGTGAGCAGGCTTATAGGCTGGACTCAGAAGCAGGATAGACACCCTAGTGGGCTTCTAGATGCTTCTAGAGGGGTGCAGAGGAGGGGCGTCTGTGTGGCATCATTCCTAACCCAGGTCTTCCTTTGTACATTCCGTAGCCTTGGGTAAGTCATCTTTTTCAATGAGATTTGCTGGGAGTTGCATAGTGAAAAATGCTGAACACATTCTTAGTATTAGGGAAATGTAAGAGACAATGATTTTTTTCTATAGTATTCTCATGACAGGTGATTTGCCTTCTAGAAGCTAGTTCATTCAATAAGTTTTATCGAAAATGCATTAATTGAATATGTGCTAAATTGCCAGTTATTCTTCTTGATGTTTGGTCTGTGAAAATAAACAAGATAAAAGTCCTTGGTTTTGTGGATGTGACATTCCAGTAGAGGAGAGATAATTAAGCCAAGAGACACATGCTGTGACCTGAGGCACTAAACATTACTAAAGAGAGAATGAACAGGGCAGGGAAAATGGGTGTTGGGGGAGGGCAAGGGCCGCGGGCCCTGGGGTAGGGAAAAGACAGGGCGTGGCAGGGTGGAGGAATGAAGTCACAGCGTGGACACCTTGTTTAAAAGAAGGACTTTGGATTTCAGACTGATTACTGTTATAACTGCTGTATGAGAAGGGCCTTCAAGGGACCAAGCCTTATTACCGAACTAGAGGGAGAGGTCAGGAGGTGATAATAAGATCTCTGTTTCTCCTCTTTCTGTTTCTCTCTCTCCTCTCTGACTCTCTCTCTTTCTCATATGTACACACAGACTTGTACATACATCATTAACAGTTTCTACTGTGTGTCTTGCATCAAGAAAGACTAACTTGTAGTCAAGGAATAACATTATCACTTTATTTTCTAAAACGTGTTTTGTCTAAATGTGATGTTTTATATAATTGTCTACAATCATCTTCACAGTGACTTATTCTTGATAATTTTGTATTGAAACTAATACCATGATAATTTCCTATACTGCTTTTTACAAATAGATGCAATAATATACGGGAAAAGACAAATTTTGTGTCTTTTCATACATTCAGCTTGAGATGTCATATGCTAGATAATAGTGCTTGTTGCTAAGAGCTCAAGCAGATATCAACAGATATTGTAATGTGTTTCAAGTTCCTGGTTGTTGCATTTCAGTCTCTGTGTTCACAGCAGTATGTGTGAGAGTCTGTCTCCGTGAGGCTCTTCTAAACGCATACCTGCTTTCCTTCTCTAGCACTAATGCACTGATTACAATTAATCTGGCATCCAGCAGAAGCTTTATAGATTTGTGGTAAGTTATTCTATTTTAGACATGATAACTAAAGTCAGATAAATTTTCAAGGAAAACAAATAAGAAGTTTTGCATGTTCAGAATGTTAGAGATTATTACATTTACCTTTTACTTTATTGAAGACAGAAGGAGTAAGGAGCAAAAAACGAAAGGAAAATAGGCTGTAGAGGCCTTAAAAACAGAATGGGCATTAAAAACTGTGTGTGTGTGTGTGCGCGCACGCGCGTGTGTGTACATGTTAAAAGACATTAGTGCTTAAAAATGAACACTCTCTCTCTCTCTCTCTCTCTCTCTCTCTCACACACACACACACACACACACACCTTAGAGGAGATTTTAATGTAACATTCATGCTTTGTGCAATCAAATTCAATGTGTCATCTTATATTTGGGAACAGATCGTATGTACTTGGTGCAGAAGGTAGACTGATTTACGTTGGCCTGCGTGGTGTCTTACAGAGATGCCTGTGCTCAGCGTGTCCTCTGTGCTCTGCTCATTCTCTGTTGCTTCACTCCATGTCAGTTTCCTCACAGGAACCTGTTTAGGAGTTCCCTCATTGATGTCATTGTCACTCTCCTCACACAGCCCCATCATAAACAGGGTTTCTTTCCAGGACTCACGACTGCTTTGAGTGGCGCTGCCCTTCGTCTGCTGCCCACGCCTGTCAGCCGTGGCCGTCAGGCCTCTCCCTCGTGGGTCAGGGGCACGCACGTGCTAAGGGCTGTGCGGCTCTTCGTTGTTCGAGCAGGCCCTCTGCTGTACATCCCCGTGCAGGCGGCTTTCCCCGGTGTCCCGTGCACTGCGGGGAGGGCTGCATGGTTGTGCTTGTTTGATGGGAAAAGCTAAGGACCACCGAGGGTCGGGACATTGGCCACAGTGAGTGGAAGGATCTCTTGGGACAGGATAAGAAGCTCACTGACTCAGGTTCAGCCAAAATAGTATGGCCTTCTCAGAGCTGGTCCCCGAGCTCTGTCTGTCCCTCAGCTGGTCCGGATCTCTGTCCCTCCTAGCGCTTGTCCGGGAGCTCTATGCAGGATGATGAAGGGGCAGAGTTGTCTTCTCAGAGGCCGTCCAAGAGCTCTGTCTGTGACAGAGGTACTACTTCACATGTGCGTTTCTATTGAATCCTAGTAATTGTTCCAGAATTTCCAAATTTCCTTAATTCCCATCTGCGGTGTGCTGACCTTTCTTCTTTTTCTCTTACTGGCTAAAAAAATAGAGCATCTATGATAAAAAATATTTTAAGTGTAAAAATTAAGTAGGTCACTTTATACTTCAAATTTACTTGTTTCTGATATTTACTCAGTAATAAGTAGTAGGAAGTTTATTTTGGGATGGGAGGTGTTTATAAATTATTCATCCATTATTATCTCTTAATGCTCTTCTCTATTAATGATAATCACAAAATTATACTACCACAGCTTTGATTTTACAATATAAATAAATTCTATAGTTTGATGCAGGTAAGAGAATTAGAAAGTGAAATCTTTGTTTGGTGTGGAAATAATAAATTGTAAGCTAGTCAGGGAAAATTGTTTTCTATTCCTTTAAGGTGTTTGTTAAAACATAACTTAGATAAGTCCACAAAGAAAGATTATAGCAAAAAACTTTCTATAAAAATCATCAACACACTATATAATTATTTCTCAGCTAGATTGCTTTTAGCTAAGGATGTTAGAGCAAACGCCTGAAAACTGTACTTACTTATACAAGGAAGAAGCTCAGCTGCATACCTGTCAAATGCTTGCAGGAAGGGTTGTGTGAGAGTTTACATTCCTTTCATATCAGTTCTGTCTTTCAGGTAAAGAAAAGAAACAAGATATTAATGTACTATTGTGTTTATTGTTATAAAAATGGTATTGGACAACAATATTAAATATTCATGAAAATCCTTATTTCCCTTGGTTCCAGCTAGCAGAAGATGCTGAGAGCTATAAGTCACCAAGGGGGTGGTCGCTAACACAGTGCAAATAATCACATGAGTTATAAACAAAGGCAGTTGACATTAAAAATTAAACAAGGAAAATTCCCAGTGGAGACTTGGATGAGTCACCACACAGCATGTAACCGCTCGTTAATTGTGCATACTCCAGAGGTAGCTAGGAGCCTATCTGCTGCCTCTGTTCTATTTTCCTACACCCATCATTTGTCTAACAGAATAAATACAGCTATTATACACTCCCTATGAGAAAAAATCCCATTAGAACTTGACGTTTTTACTGTCTGTAAAAAATATGTCATGTAAGTAAATGTGACAGAAAGTTCTACTTTCTTAAGTTTTTGTACCACTCATTAACTGAACTGTAATGCCAATTATTTAACTATATCTTTACCTGGGCTTTGCACAAAACCCCCAACTTATCTTGTTATGAGGTAATTCATGCATTGGTTTGCTTTTTTTTTTTTGCCTATTTTCCCCATTTTACAAAATGATTATTGGTCTCCACAGGACATCCTTCAATGGAGAAACGCCCACGCTGAGAGCCCCCGGGGACACACGCAGCTCCGGTCACGAGATGGCCTCCTCCTGGAAACTGATTCTCTTCCTGCCAGTCACCTGGTGTCTCTCAGGTAAAATACCCACAAGTCACCAGATTCTCTAAGTATCACCTAACACAAGTACCTCACGATCTTCACTACGAAATCTTGGTAGAAATGTATACTGTTAACAAAAAGACCAGGTTTCCCTCAGCTGTTACTAAAGCAAGCATCTACCTCACTGACTTCATTTAGAATCTAAAACCACTGTGAACCTTCAGAAGGCTTAGAAAGCATCTCTGTCTCTTTGTATCCATCTACCTATCTATCTAGATAAAATTTGTAACAAGTAATTAAGACAGTATCTAATTCCAATGCTACGTTTTACCACATAGAAACAACCACGCTGCCCTTATTGCACACCTATGTGTGCGAATGTGCACATGGTTTAAGACAGTGTGTATGATGCATGACAGAAAGACATCCACGAGGAAATCTCCTCCTGCTTGTTGGCTTGCTGCAGTGGCTTCCACTTGTCTGTTAGATCAGGTTCAGGGTTTCATATCTAGATCCAAAGGAGACCTTTCATTCTGCAAAAGTTCTTCATGTTCTTCTGGAGAAGCAAAACTGTAAAAAAAAGATTCAGTTATGTTTGTTTATTTGTTTTGATTTAAGATTATGTTGAGGTTTGTCATTATTTAAATGTCATGTGCAAAGTAATTACAGCTTAATTAGACATAACTCCATGCCTATATTGTAAGTAAATTTCAGTTGCTTTTCTGAAGCGCCACCAGCTGTTCAGGGGCTGAGATCTCAGTATAGCAGTTCGATTCCAGCCCAGGCAGAAAATCTATGAGACTCTTACCTCTAATTAACTAGAACAAATCCAGAAATAGAGCTGTGTCTCAAGTGGTAAAGTGTTAGCCTTGAGCAAAAAGCTTAGGCCCTGAGTTCAAGTCCCAGGAATGGCACAAACAAACCAAAAGATTCTCTTGCTAGTTTTAGATTAAATGGTTTCTTTTATTTCTAAATGTATTTTTAACTATACTACTCACAGCTTTTTAGCACAGATATATGTAGTGGTTCAGTGTTTTATACAAATAGTGCATACAGATAAATACACAGCCTATATTTTCATATATGTACAAAATTCATATCATATACATGTATGAAAATGTATATGATATGGAGTATGCAGCAATATAAATATATAAAGTATGTTTTTACCTGCGGCCACAAATACCCTTATCATGTATACCAGGCTGTATTACTATGTAATAAAAACATTTAATTGACTATTCTAAATATCTTTGTTTTAAAGAACTAAACACATCATCCTCACTAATCATCTCCTATATTATTAGTAAAATATACATACATATAAACATATACACACATATATACATGTAGATCCACATATATAAGAAAAACTAAAGATTGTCCAAAAACATTGAGCAGAATTATTTGAACTATCTTTATTCTTATAATTACATGAAAGTTTCTCTTTAGTCTTCCTGGATTGTTTCCTTTTGAGGAGGGGTCTCCAGTGTATTAAGCATGATAATTGTGTATGATGGGTGGTTCTTCTATACATTAAAAGTGATATTCAGCGTTAATAATACCTCTAACCATCACTGCACTATAATCCCCAGCAAGCAGATTTTGTTCCAAAGCCTTCTCTGAAATCTGCACCAGTTTTCCTATGTGCGTGGATAGTTCACTGTTAGTGCTAAAGTTCACGTGCTGAGGCATGGCTGAACATGAATGAACGCATCTGAATGTGTTTGAAAGCAATAAAAAAGCTCTTGTTGCAATACCATCACTTAAGTAATTGCACAGCAACAAAATCAATAATGATTCATTTATCATTACTATTATAAATTGACACGTTGTTTATAGAAAAATCAAGTTTAATTAGAGACAGGAAAAGTGGGATAATACTCTATCATTTGGATAGACATATCCGTGTCTACTTGAAGATGTATATAAGTTCAAAGATACCAAAGTTAAATGAAAATTGTGATTCATCAGTGTCTTGGTTGTAAACAAAAGGGAGTCTCTAGATGTTTTATTCTGCCTTACAGTCTTTCCTTCCTGTGCAGTGCAACCAACTTCTCTCCTGATTTATTCATCTTCCACCTTTTCAGTGTCCTTCCCTGTTTGACTCATAAACTACCTGATAGAGATGGAGGTAGACTTGGGAGATGAGATAAATAAAATAGACATTTTAGGCTTGGGTTTTAGAAAAGACAACACCATGATTTTTTTCTGTCTCTAGTATGAACCATACAATGCTTTATGTCAGTTTAGTGACCTGCCATAAACTATCCATTTAACCTCTCTCTGTTAACTGAGAAGACTTAGAAACTAGAAAAGAATCAAGATCTTGGTTTTAATATCAATTTCTACTTAAACCATGGTTTGGAGAAATGACTGATTGTAAGACTGAAGCAGGAAGTAGAGCAATCACAGCGGACCACACAGTAGATCCACGAAGGAAGGACACACTCGGGGAAGGGAGCAGTGTGGGCCAGCAACCACTGTGTTAGTCCCACGGCATGCTGGGGTGCAGAGTCAGGAATAGCGCCTCTGAAATAAGTCATGTACCAGTAGTGTTCAGGGTGCTAGAATAGGGTAGGAATTAGCTTAAAATAGCTCGTTAGCACACTCTCATTTGGTAGGAAAGTTTTGTAAACATACTTTTTGTATTTCTACAACCAGCATATTTTTTCAGTATCCAGAAACTACTCTGTATGTTGATCAGAACATGCCGATTACTGAGAGTAGTAGTTTAAAAGTTTTTGGGGATTATTTATCTCTCTTCTATAGTTGAAAAAATGCTTGACTCAGCTTATAAATCATGGAGTTACAAATAAGTGGTTCTGTGGTCCAACTCCTCCTTGGGCAAGCAAGCACAATCTCATGTGCTGTCACTGGGGTGCGGCGGGAGGCCCGGCCTGTCCTACCACGGTGGCAGAGGGCGCAGGGAGGGACTCAGCCCCAGGGCACCTCTCGTTGACACAGCAGACAGTGAGCATCCTTCCCGCCCCGCTCGGAGGAGCTGCCCCACTTTGTGCTGGGCACCTGCATCCTAGGCCGGCGCCCTGTGCACTTCCTCTCAGCATTGCTGTCAGGTTTATGATGTAAGCTGTGTTGCTTTAAACTAATAACAACAGAAGAAGTGTGTGTGTGTGTGTGTGTGTGTGTGTGTGTGTGTGTGT